GCTCTCAATCACAGTGGCGGGAGAACGTCCCACTTTCGCCCAGGTCAGTGAAGGGAGTATTTGTCCGGCAAATGTGCTTCTTTGGCCTTGACTTGTGTCCATAAAAAGTGAACCTCGGCGACATATGAAAAAAATTCTTCCCGTTAGAAGTCACAGTCGCGTCTGGAATGTTAAAAGGAGGTCACTGATGGAAAGCAAACGTAAAACACGTTCGTTGTGCGTGTTCACAAAATTTTGGTTTTGGTGCCACTGTTGGCGCGTAATTAGACTCCTTCAGCAGTTTTTGAGAGCCGTAGCCTTCAAGTTTAAACTCCGCACTTCCAATGAAAAGGAGCGAAAACTCCGAAAAAATTCTCAAAACTACTGGGTTATGGGTTAACGAATGCGTGCCGCATAGCTCTCCTTCACCCTATTGCACGTTTAGCCGCTTTTAAAGACTATGCTGCACTCATTGAGCCAACTTTTACAAGTAAACTAAGGTCCTTTCGAACAGTGACGACCTTTAAGAAACCTCTGGTGAAGAAGTATTGCCACTACGTCACTGCGTCTCTCGCGAGTACAAGTGTTAGTCTGGTTCTCAGCCAACCATTGGTATCTAAACCGGCCAATCAATTTTGAGGTCGACGCAGACATGCCCTCGCTTGAGGTGCACTGATACCTGCCCGGTGACACTCGAACCACGCTCTGGAGGTGCCGGACGTGTGTCCTCGTCCGGCTGCAAACTTTCTCCAACCTATTCTCTATTTGTCCTGTGCAGAATGCAATATTCTCTCTCACACACACTCTTACTGTTTGTCTTTTTTAGTGTTCTCCTCCGCCTATCTGAACCAGAAATGGGCTATGATGGCTGGTCGGCGGTCGCTCTTCAGAGAGTCACAGCGATCAACAGGCCAATCCAACACAAATAACCAGTCGAAGTGGGTCAGCCCTAACTGCTGTGTTAGTGACACCCTGGATGTCGCCCAAGTTCGAAGGAAGACACGGACAAGAGGTGAAGAAGAGTATGTTGATAAGACCGGAAATCACATCAGAGTAGGTATGGCAAAATGTTTGTCCCAGCCTTCTGGCAGCCGCGAACCATCCTCGTGAATCGAAGCAGCGTTAGTAACCTTTCAGATGCCTGGAAGCTTACTGAAATCAGATGAACACAGAACTATGATGCCAAGTTACACATATATCTCTATGATTGGCTCTCTCAACAGTACTGTTGGAATCTCATCCGGTCCTGGAGATTTCTCTATATTTAGGTTCCTTAGCTCAGCCCTCACTTTGAACTCTATCAACTGGCCGACCTCGATTTAATCTTGATTTTGGTCTAACAGTGAATATAAACTGTCGTCACCTACAAACATAAACGTTGATTCACACCTACGGAAGACATACTCGCTTCGTGCTAATGGGGGCCTAGATTGACCGTGTCGATATCTTCTTCGGTCCTTGAGATTTAAACAGATATGCTTTTGCACATTTCCTGTCCGTGCTGGCAGCAAAAGTATGAGAAAAGAAATTCATCTAGACTAATGTTCTAGTGTATCTGATTAAAGCCATGCTAAAATACGCGAAAAAGCACCCCGTATTACAAGAGAGCTTGCACCAAATCCAGGGAGATAAGGGTTAGGGTCCTGGTTAGGGTTAAGTTTGGGATTAGAATGGATACTTCTCTGGGAATCTAAGGCAAGGCCATCTGCATTGCTGAGGGGAGGAAGTCCTATCCCGGCGTCCTACCAAATTCTAGCCTAGGACTTGCGATCCCGATCAAGTCCCGATTTGCCATGGACGCATTAACGTCGTCACGATTCTTTCCCTGGCCGGTTTCCTACTTCTCGCTCAGTAGTAGTTTGAACTAGATCGCAGTTGGTAGCCAGGATCCGTATTAGAGGTGGCGGGGGGTTTGTTTGCTGGGGCTTTTTTGTGGAGCTCCATAATCACATCTGACCCATTTGGCTTCCGTTTTACGTCTGAGGTTAGGATTAGGGTACCGGTTAATGGTTTCCGATTTTCTGGTTAGGGTTATGCCTTTAGGCTTAGGTTTTCGGGTTACGGTTAGTGTTTGAGAGTACGATTAGGATTCAGTATTACGGTTAGGTCTCTCAGTTACGGCTATGTCTAAGGGCTACGGTTACGTTTACGATTTCGGTTAGGGTTAGGGATGCCGTTAGGGTTGACGGTTAACGTTTAGGGTTGAGGTTAGAGTTAGGGTTAGCGTTAAGGTAAGGAGTAGGGTTAAGTTCGCCGTCCGCCTGCCGATTCCTGGCTACCAACTGTGATCTAGCCGTAGTTCGCCTTTCTCCCCGCTATGAATTTAGGGCCTGTAAACAACTACTAGGTTTGGATAAATATTTTCCCTGTGTGAAGTTGAAACAGGCATGCACAGCAGAATTTATTGGTACCAACGAATTTTGCAACGGCTTACTAACTGCAACCTGTCGCTACATTTTAGTGTCCGAGGCACGTAGTGGTACGTGCTTGGCTTCGTCCTTAGTGTTACCACTGAGTCGAATGTCTTCTGGGTCAAATTCCTGTAAACTAATGTGAAGTGAACTCATTGGTCTCGAAGCGCAACCACACGCAAAGTAGGACAGAATGTGGCAAGAATGTTTACTGAAAATATAACAACGCGCCATAACTACTTCTGTTCCGTCTTCTTCTTCACTTCCTCCTTCTGGGCGTTCTCTTGGCCAACCTATTAGCACCCATCCAACGCGATAACTAAAACCAAGTTCGAAAAACAAGTGAGTCAGAAAAGAACCAGATAGACAAGGTCACATTCAAACAACAAGGCCGGGTTGCCCTTCTACAGCATAACACATGTTAAGAATAAGAATGATGCAACAATTTGAATGTCCACAGAAGAATCAGTAAGATGTGGTTATGCGGCCCCACCTGATGGACACAATACTGTTGGGGTTGATGTTAGGGGTTAGGGTCAGGGTTATGGTTAGGGGCTAGGGTAACTATTTCTAAACCACTCAAAGTACAACTGCGCCTTCACAATAGCTTTTCTTTTGCATACAACTACTTGGCCTCGTCGCCTGTGCGTTCCCCCGTCCCACCTGTAAAAAACCCCATTACCACCGGTCACGTAATGCAGGTGGCTGGAGTTTGTTTACTTCAGGTGAGGCTACATAACCACATCTGGCCGAAAAATCAATACAAAACAGCAAGGTTAGCGTTTAAGACACACAGAATATTCAATTAAAATGGTGACTTCAAAACGCAATTTAGGAAAGAAAATGGGAAAATGAACACGCCAAGCGGGTGAGTAAATCAAAAGACTGGGATTTACAAGGGCAAGCTGAGTTTGAATATGTGGTCTAACTGTTTGCATAGGTCGGGATTCTCCGCCGTATTTCGACTGCCTCTAAGCAGCGTAATGTTCGAGTTTTTCGTGCCTGAACAAGCACTCGAAGGATGTTCTGGGGTCTATGGAGTGACCGCCACCTAGGAGGTGCTTCGTGATAGAAAAACGAGGAATTTCATTTTACAGCTTTAAAAGTCATTTAGGCAGGTGCTCAACCGACATGGCTGTCCATTGCTTTTGTTTTCGCTCAATGTACTCGCGTCCACAAGTGCATATGCATTCATAAACACAGTTTGCGGTGGCGTGCAATTGCAAGGCATCCTTTTTCCGTGGAATTTGAATAACTTTAGTGGGACTGCTGAATGTGAGTTTGGCTGTGTTGTATGTCCTTCCAGTGGTTTATCTTAATCGTCGCTTGCTGGTATTTGAAATGTTGTCATCCTTAAAGGGTAAGCATATTTCAACGGGCTATTTCGGAACTGATTGTTCCGTCAATTATGGTCGTAAATTATTTCTGTACTTTAGGATGAGACGTACTGAATGTCCACGTTTAAGTAAGGTTATTTTGAAAGAAGCAAGGTCTGTTTCTAGTGTCTCAATGGAGCAAATGTTCCTTGCTTTTTGAAAGACAGTGTGAGTTAGGTTTCCTCCTTGTTTTATTGGCACAAAGATCAGGAAATGTAGGTATTGACCTATTCATGTATCCTTATGGAATACCGATCGCCTTATTGAACCATCTTTCTGTCGAGTCATGAGAACCTTCAGGAAAGGTAGCTTGTTACACTGCACCTTTTTCATGTTGAAGTTGATCTGCGGATGGAGAACATACATAGCAACAAGTAGGTCTTCGGCTTCTTCGTTGTTATCAACAATCGCAAATATATCGTCTACACATCTTCTGCATAGTGTTTTCATGTCCAATTTGGATGACAACTGGGGTGTAGGGGTGTCCAGCGGTGAGTTCACGTGACGGTTGTAGTAGGTCGGTCGCGTGCTTGCGGGTGTAGACTACACCTAGCGTCCATTTGCTGGCGCCCAACTCTCACATGTGGCTCCCCAAAGCTAGGCTCCGCCTAGCGGCCACACCCCTGCTACCGCCTCAACCGGTGGGCTGAACCAGGTGTGTGCACCTCCGCACACGGTAATCTCGGCTCCGCTGGCGGGCATTGGCGTCTCCGTGATGAGGTCCCACCTGGAACAACCGTAGGAGGCCACAAGTTAAGTGAGCCTCCAGGTAAGCGAACGTTGCTCTGCTGCCTTTGCTCTTGCTTGTTATTGTCTGCCTGCTTTCTGTCTGCTTGTATTTGCTTGTCCTTGTTGAAAGCAAAATGCGTTCTGTTGAAGTTCCTCTGTTGCCTTTGCTTTTTGCTGTTCTTGCCTGCTTTCTTTTTGTCTGCTTCTACGTGTCTGTCCTTACTGCAAACTAAATGACGTTAAGATGAATTTGTCTGCTCACCTCTTATATTTCAGCAACCAGTTTAGCTTAGAGAGGGACGGGAAGCTCTGCATCCCCTCTCTCCACTCCCCCCTAACCCGTCGTAGGCAGTCTCTGGCTAACTAGTGTCTCTCTCCCATTAAATAAAAGTCGTGGCCCATAGATGAGTTTGGCAGCTGTCTAGGACAACTGAGGAGCCCTAATTAGGGAGGGCGCTGTTGACCACCGCGAGGAAGACGGGGCTAGAACAGGTGCCCTAAGCAAATGCTGGGGACCCACGCCGTCTGCAGGCTGACCGTGGCCTCAGACGCAAAACTGACGGTCGAAACAACCAAACAAGAAACAACTATCTCTTCTCCCTTCTGCTCCTTGCCGCCTCGCTCGCCAGACTGGTACGGTGAGTCCGCTCACTCTGGCAGCCTGGAATGTTCATTCCCCTTTAGACAATACGGGGAGCAACCGACCGGAACGGAGTACGACGCTACTGGCTCGGAAGCTGGCGCACTACGAAGTGGACATCGCCGCACTCAGCGAGACCCGATTCTCCGAACAAGGCCAACTGGAGGAGGTGGGTGACGGCTACACCTTCTTCTGGAGTGGCCGCCCCAGGCCAGAGCGGCGAGACGCGGATGTCGCCTTCGCCACCCCATACGACATCGTGGGACGACTGCCCTGTCTGCCGCAGGGTGTCAACGATCGCCTGAAGAGCCTCCGTCTGTATCTCCAGGGAGGCGAATTCGCCACCATCGTCAGTGTCTACGCTCCTACGATGACCAGCCCCGGAGCTGCGAGGGACAAATTCTACGATAACCTGTACGCCCTCTTGGCGACTGTGTGAAAGGCGGACAAATTGATTGTCCTTGGTGACTTTAACGTCCACGTCGGTAGAGAACATGCGGTCTGGAGAGGAGTGCTGGGTCCCCATGGCCTCGATGGCTTCAACGGCAATGGACTGCTCCTCCTAAGAACCTGTGCAGAACACTGACTCATCCTGACGAACACCTTCTTCCGCCTCCCGATGCGAGTGAAGACCACCTGGATGCATTCTCGGTCGCGTCAGTGGCACCTGCTGGACTATGTCCTCGTCCGGAGGCGAGACCAGCGGGACGTGCTGGTGACAAAAGCGCTTCCTGATGCCGACGGCTGGACCG